GGGACGGAAAGTCTGAGAAGTTGACAGTTTATTTCGGAGTTGAGTTTACGCGACTTGGCGTACCACAAATATCGGGGTATCGCACCCGTCTCTTCAGCTCGCTTCTGGATTGCGAGTGGGGGCTGAGGAGCTTAATTCCTAAATAAGGAAGGAGAGTGAAACGTCTGATGACGGTTTTCTCGCTGGGAATTTTGGAGCTCAGGGAAAACAAGCCTCCCCCCTCCCTTTCCGCTTCTACCATCAAAGCATTTGGGGGTTTTTTGTTTTATTTCATCGTCTAAACCCCCTTTTTCTCAGTTTTTTTCCATCCTCTTCAGCATCATCAGCTGAAAGACCTGGGGAAAAACCCACACGGGCTTTCCCCACGACCCCTCTGTTGTGGGGTCCTTAAAAAACCCATTAAAAATGGGTTTTTAAAAATTAATTTTTTAAAAATTAAAAACCCATTTAAGCGATTTCAAGTCTCTCTTAACATCCCCTCGTGCTTATTCCCCTCGCCACCGTTTAGCGCGGGTGGTTTGCTGTGGCGTGCGGTATTCCGCCAGCAGATGGGCTTTCACCTGGAGGAGGTTGTTGGCAGCGTCTGGAGGCGCACGCGTCGCGCGGTGCAGCCGCCTGTTGCTCGGCTGTCGGCGGTCTCCGGCAAGGGTGTAGCCGGGGTCTTTGATTTTTGGGGTGTTGCTTTTCTCCCGCAGCCCATGGACTCCATGCACGAGAAGGGAATAACCGACGATCCTCGCTACGGCCAGATGAAAGGGATGGGAATGCGGCCCGGCGGGCACGCGGGAATGGGTCCTCCTCCGAGCCCGATGGATCAACACTCGCAAGGTTGGTTCCTTTAAGAAAAAAATAATCCTTTCGTGGGGACGGGGCTGTGGATCGGTCTGGAGCTCCCGGAGCGTCGGTGGCTCTTCGCTTCCCTCTTCTGTTTGCACAAACGTGGGATGTCCATTAGGATAGTCGCGAAAACGAGCGAAGAATCGCATGAGAAGGTCAAACTGGGGGAAGGACCATCTGTCCCTCCTCCTTGCCGAGATCGGTGTGGCCTCGTACGCCGAGCGCACCGTTCCCACGCAGCTGCTTACCTCCAGGAACTTTGCTTGCTTTAAATCGTTGATTTCTGGGGAAGGATTTAGCACTCTGGGGGCTCCCAGGTTTAAAGCAGGTGCAGGCTCCGCTGGGGAGGAGAAGTTTTCTGTGTTGGTTTTTTTTTTTTTCTTTTGACTCGGTCTTCCCTTCCCCATCGCTGGGAGCGCCTTGCTCCCGTCTAACTGGCTCTCTCCCTCCAGGTTACCCTTCTCCGCTCGGCGGCTCCGAGCACGCCTCGAGTCCGGTTCCGGCCAACGGTCCGTCCTCTGGCCCTCAGATGTCCTCGGGCCCCGGAGGAGTCCCCTTGGATGGCACTGACCCCCAAGCGCTGGGGCAGCAGAACCGGGGCCCGACCCCTTTTAACCAGAACCAGCTGCACCAGCTGCGAGCTCAGATCATGGCCTACAAGATGCTGGCCAGAGGCCAGCCCCTCCCCGACCACCTTCAGATGGCGGTGCAGGGGAAGCGACCCATGCCTGGAATGCAGCAGCAAATGCCGACACTACCTCCGCCCTCCGTGTCCGGGACAGGACCAGTGCAAGGACCAGTGCAAGGGCCTGGACCGGGACCGACACCTCCAAACTATAACAGACCTCACGGTGAGCGCTTCTTCGCCGGCTCGGGAGCGACTGGCCTTCCTCCTGGTGGCAGGCGGGTGTTTTACCCCGGTTTATCACAGAATCACAGAATGGTTTGGGTGGGAAGGGGCCTCTAAAGGTCGTCTAGTCCAACCCCCCTGCCGTGGGCAGGGACATATTCAACCAGATCAGGTCGCTCAGAGCCCCGTCACACACGCACTTGAGCCTC